ACTAAAGGACTCGATCCATGAAAACAAATAAACCATCGGCAGCTCTGCTCACAGCCCTTTCTGATGTCATCTATCCCAACAGGAAATCGTCAGAAAAACACTGATTATTTAGGAGAAACAGCTTTATACAGTGTCTCTACTGGATAGTAGCTCAAAATGTTGATCAAAGGACATACTTTGAGTTTAAAAAAGGAAAACGATGCTCTAATTATTAAAGAAAACCTTGTTCGTCATGTGACTAACTTGACCGATTCTGCTTAACCTCTTCATCTTCTCCAACTTTCATGCTGCTGGAATGCAGAAAGCTGGAGCTCTAAGTGAAACCACATGAGCACAAGAAAAAGAAACATACAAGCCCCGTGCTTAAAAGCCAAAGAAACTAAAGCCCTGACATTATACTGCCAGGAAACTGTGTCAACAACAGTGAACCACCTGTGCTGTCTCACTGCTCCTCACATGCACTGATACCCAGAAAATCGTTCCACCACCATCCCACCATCCCACCATCCCACCTCGCCTCCTGTCTTTTTTTCTTTCTTTCTCTGGAGGGCACCTAAAGAGATTAAAGGTCAGAAACACTAATTACTGACTCTGTCATTTAATCTCGTTGAGGCCGGGGATTAGAGTTATAATCCCATCACATCACTGCTACAGGAAATTATAAGTCACTGTAACATCTACCTGGCTTCCCATCAATGTTGTAGAGGATAGACGGGGACAAGAGGGCGGGAGGAGAAGATGTAGGCGTTAGAGGAGAGCCATGGATGAGTGCAGGAAAGAGTTGAGACAAGTTTTTAAGAGTAAAAACTACAGAAGGCTCAAGACTGTTGAACCCACTCTGCTTTTTGTGGAACCCACGGACCGAGAGACAGGGGGGAAAGGAAAACAAGCTAGTGCAGGGGCAAAAGTGAAAAAAAAAAACTGAATTCTCCCTCAACCCTCGCCCTCTTTCTTAACTTCTGTCCCCCCCCCTTCTCTCTCCCTCTCTCTCGTGGCGGGAGGTAATGCGAATCTGAGGGTAACAGAAGCCAGTCTTTGGACATGCTTATCCAGACAGACTTGGACTTTTGTGTTTGTTTGTGTGTGTGTGTGTGTGTGTGTGTGTGTGTGTCTTTGGGGTGTGCAGATTGAATCCTGCATCCCTGGGGAGCCTAACTACCTCTCCATCTCTCCGGCTGACTGTTTCTCAGAGAGAGGGAGGGAGAAGGATAGAGAGAGGGAGAAAGAGGGGGAGGGGGGGTGGGAGAAACACACAGGCAGAGATTTGGAAAGAATCAGAAAAGAGAGAGAAAAAAAGAGAGCGAGCAGGGCAGCCGTCGCTGCAGCGAAGCCCAACAGCTCCCTCTGTCGTCACCTAGAAAAGGTCTAGTACCTCTCTCTTTCACCCCTCCACCCACACCCCCTCTTTCCTCTTCTCTCTACGTCTTCTTATTTGAGTTCTCTCTCCCGCTGTTTCTGTTCAACACGCCTGCTTTCTCCCCCTCTCTGTAACAGTTTAAAAGAATCTAGTTTACAATGCCTTGACTTATGAGAACGAGCAGCTGGCGGCTAATTAAATGTAAATATAACAATTACAGTGTTATAAATTAATCCCTCTATCTCGCCCCCCTCCCTGGTGGGCTACGTCAGCAGTGTTTGGAGTCAGCTGCCTTTAAACTCATTCCAGTAGGAGACATTTTTTTTTCCCTGTGTTTTTTCATCTTAATTCAGCCCTTAAGAACACAACATCAGCCATAAGTGGCTCACCGCCAGAGTCAGTTCAGGATTTGAATGTAAAAACCATGTGACATAAGCACATCCTCTCTGCTTATTTAGTCTGCAAAGTCATTTATGGTAAAGAGCGCTTTGAATCCAGTATGAAGTTCCTCTGCTGGAAGATGAAACGCAGAAATGTCTGATAAGAGGAGGAGACATGAGAAAGAGAAAAAGCACTACAACTAAAGCCTCCATGGGATATTGCATCTGAGTTTTTCTATAAAGAGATTGAGTGGCTCGCCGCTGTTATCCACTCATAAGGAAGCCATTACACACACACACAAATGAACTGTGGAAACTTGATTGGGGAAGCACAAGTTAAACAGCCATGACTGGTCTGGTTGTGTCTTTTCAAACTTAAGGACCATGTGTGTGTTCACAGGTTTAATTTTATCTCTGCAAACTATAAGGAACGTCACCACCAAGCAGAACATTTCCAATGTGGGGGTCGTCGACGAATCCAATAAAAATCTGACGACATTTCTGTGTCAGTTTTCGCACAGTTTCTTGGCTGAGCATCAGTTAAAAAAAAAAAAGAAAGAAGAAAATCTGATATCTCACCCACCCTGCTTTCATGTGTCATCCGACCGAGCCAGGTTTCTGTAAACACAGCTCCCCTTAAATAGCACAAAGACGTACCGGTACAAGTGGGGATTCTGTGTTTCTGTCTTGTTTTTTTTTTCTTCTAAGAGTGCAATCACTTCCCCAGACATAAAAACCAGACTATTGTGGGAACTGAGGAGGGATTGGGGGGGGGGGGGGGCGCTATGAGTGTTCATACTTGTGATAGCGAAGTGAAGACAAGCGCTGTCTGGCAGCAGTGGCTCTCATAAAAGAGCGAGACGGAGTACACTGCTCATGGAAGTCATGCTGCCCTCCTCCTCTTCCTCCCCCTCATACTCTGATAGGAGTCATGCTCTTTTTCTCCTCAGGTCTGCCCTCATGTTTCTTCTTTTCCCAACCTTGTTTCCACTTCTCCATCCAAACTGAATTACTGTGACTAAAATAGTAGCAAGAAGACTTGGTTAGAGAATTAAGCAAACATCCAAAAGCACAAATAGGGTGATACTGTGGGGAGCTTTGTGTGAAGGCAACGGCACGGAGGCTTTAATGTTAAACCCACAGAAAACAACAAGCAGCATTTCAAAAGTGGAGATACATTAGGGACTTTCATTTGTTGCGATGTGCCTTTTTAAGTAACCGCTGTAAACTCACCAGAGCTGGAAAAAAAAAGGGGAATTCTGTTTTGTGTCACTGCAAGTTTGACTGGTCTACAGGCTAATTGGTAAAATGCAAAGAAGGAAAAAATAAACACTCTGCTCTGTAATGTAGCCACATGATACAGAGACGTGGAAAAAAAGACCACAAAAGTGCAATTCTGAAAACTAGTTAAAATGGGTTTTTTTTCGCCTGTGAGATTATAACACAAGGATTTTACAAACCCCTTATTTTCTGTGAAGTGGAGCTGGTACCTCTCAAGGTTTTCTCTCTGTGAACCTTTCTCTTCATTGTTGAAGGCAGACTTTTTTTTTTGTTGAAACACTGCAAGAAACAACCCTGCAAACCAAGCAAGCAAGCAAGAAGCCTGACTGCTATAAGAATCAGCCCCCCTGTCGAATGAAACACAACAACAGCAAATTATTTTCTCAATGACTCCCACAAGACTGGAAAGTACAGAGAGAGGCCGGGAGGAAGAGAGATGGAAAGGCAGAGGAGAAAGATGAAGAAGAGATGGAGGTATAGATGAGGTAAAGTGGGGAGACAGCGCAGAGACATTGCATAGCAGCAACAGTGTGGGAGACAGGAGGGGAGAGAGAGTTGGAGAGGGAGAAGAGAGATTATTGCTTGCTTGAGAGCAGCAATCTCAGGCTGTGTCATGAATACCAAACTGCACAGCCGTTCAGTGTTTCTCCCTCTCTCCGCTCACCCATTGAAAAACGCAGCGGAATTGCAGCTGCCCAAATTATACACCTATATCTCACTTTTACTCTCAGCACTCATAGCTCCATCCAACCATAATTATTCCTATCAAACCAGCACACTCAGAGAGTCCACCAGCAAAGAGCCGGTTCATCTGGATTTCATTGGCTATCTGTGTAACAATTAAATAAATATCTGATGTGGCCCTGCAGGGACAATAAGGCAAACGCACGGACCTAATTGAGTGCAGAATGAGCCTGAATGAGCCTACGGGCAAGTGATCTGTATGCAATTTTTATGCAGTTTCGCCGGCGCTGGCGCACACGGAAAAGGGCAGGACGCAGCTCCGGCTGAAAGTATTCAAATGGACTGAATACTAAGGAGCCTACAGGGGATCACATTTCAAGGTCTTAATTCCACAAAAGCCATAATGAACCCTACAGAGATCTGTAAGAGCAGAATATAAAAAGAAATAAATTAATAAGGTTGTGGTGTGGTTCATAGTTTTTCTTTTAAGTGTGGAGACCACTTTTTTGAACGCTTTCTGTGAGAATATGGCCTTTTATCCACATAATGCAAATAAAGCGACAACTGCATGTCTCTTTTGATCCATCGAGAGATTGCTTTCTCAATGATTGGATTTAATCGTAAAAACTAAATCAAGAAAAGTTGTGCGTCGCCGTTACGCGGAGACACAGAGGCAGCGAAAGGGAGCGAGTTTAACCACTCACTATACGTGGCCAGAAACACACACATACTTACACAGACACACACACACATACCCAGAAACACGCATGCATGCACGCGCACGCACACACACATATCAATCGAGCGCAAATACGCAAACCAACACCGATGCACAGTGCGCTTGTAGATCTGTGTGATGTGGAAACCGCACAAATCCCAACCGTCATCCAGTGGTCTGAAGGCTGAAGAAAGTCTCCTCTGTTGCAGCCTCAGCAACATACACACAAGTCTTCTTATGCTGTTGGTATCGCTAATGCGCAAAGGCTCTGTGGGGCTTTTCGTGCCTTATTCCCGTATTTACTAAAACATAACCAATTCCGACATCCCCTTAAGGTGACCTTTTTAGTATGCGTGTGCACAAATGTTTGTATGACTGCGCTGGATTCTTCCAGAGGCGAGCCACAGCATCCCGGGAACCGACAACATTTCACTTCTGACGCCTGTTTTACGCTCATTAACCCCTCTGCAGAAGGAGACGCACGGACAGTAACAGCACGGAGAGAAACAGATTGAGCAGAGGAAAAATAGATGAATGGGACTGTGTTGAAAAACCAGCCTTTTAACTCCAGCAAGCTTACCTTGGAAGTGAGAGACTCCGCGCGCAGCAGCCCGTCTCTCCAAGGAAATTTCCTCCAATACATACAAGCCAGCAGAAACGCTCACTTCTCCCAAGTATTGTTGCTTCTTTTCTCAGATGTCCAACACATCCACGGAGTAAACCCCCCCTCCTGCGTTACTGTTTGTGGGTGCTTGGAGAAGAGGAGGGTTATAAAAAGGAAAGCAGAGCCAAGTCGTTTCTCCTCAAACCCTGAAATGTTCCCTCTCCTGTTTTTTATCCGCCGGTGATGGATAAAAAAAAAACAGCAGTGGAGCGTCTTTACAAGGCTCCGAGGCTGTGATGATGAAAAGTAGTGAGGAGGTGTTTGTCAGGAGAGAAAAAGAGGGGAAATCACCGTAACATCCCTCCTTTCTATCTTCCTTCCTCGCTTCCCTTCTAACTTCCTTCCTTCGGGTATCAAAAATCCGGCACCACAGCACCACCAGCTCCGTTTATCAGTCCTCCCTCCACAAGCCTCGGAAGCGGAGTGAGGGAAGCTGAGCGGGGCGCGCGACGGCAGCAGGGCAATTGTGTGTGTGCGTGTGTGTGTGTGTGTGTGTGTGTGTGTGTGTGTGTGTGTGTGTGTGAGAGAGAGAGAGAGAGAGAGAGAGAGAGAGATGTCGCTGCCGATGGAGGGCGTTGGAAACTACAGTAACCTTCTCTATGCTCTTACTTTCTTCTTTTTCTACATCCCCTGGCTTTCTATGGGATCATACAATACATTTGTGATGTTAATGCTATTTAATTATCCTGTTAGGGGGCTCTGGGAATAAACCGAGGCACTAAGGATGATAAATACAATCCTCTTTAGCAATAAAAACGCACTTTTGACAGCCACAAATACGTCAGAATACTCTCACAGAATTTGCGTATTTATAGATGCAGATGAAATCAAATATAGGCCTATAGAAAAATGATGAACATTATTGGGTCACATTTTTTTTCCCATTATGTGATGTGACACTAATCACTGGCGCTGTGTCACATCCAGACTGAGGGTCTGCAGCAGTGAAGCAGCCCTGCAGTAGAGGGGTAAACGAATGCAACAGTTGCTCTGGCCTCATTGGCTGAGTGCAGCGTCCAACTGCTGCCAGGGAACATTTAGAATCTCACAGGCAGCCAATCAGAACAGAGGAGGGGGAGCGTGGTGGGGAGGCTCAGCTTTGGGAGACCCTTCTTTTTGAGAGGTGATTGGCTGATACACAGTCCCATTTAAAATACCTCCTGGCCAGTGATAGAAGAGGGGGGAGGGGAGGGGAGAGTCCCATCATCATTTCAGTCAGGTGAACCAGATGATTCATGGCTCTTTCTATCCATGTCTTGTAGGTGTGTTGCTGAAATGTTAAGGTTTTTTAAAATGTGCAAATGATTGTGTTAATACAGGATGAATACCTCAAAGTATACCTGCTACATGAAAGTAAACCAATCTGGGCTCCAAGATAAATCTGAGTTCTAGACTTGAAGACACATTATCATGTTTGTTACTATTGCACACTGACAAAACCTATTATGATGATTTATGCTGGAAGTCCTAAAAGGCTGGCTTGTACAAGGTTATGGTGGCATAGTTACATTTTTCTCGAGTTTCACGTGCAATTTCGATTCATCTAAATGAACAGATAAGATAGAAGTGATGCTATTCTCTAAAAATGCAACATTTCCTGTTGAAGGGGAAAAAAAGAGGCTCCCTGGTAAAAATGCCAATGAATCGCTGATGATGCACCAAGGTCTGTCATTGTATGAATTAAGTGACAATAACTCTTTTAAATATGATATTTGTTCTACAAGGGGTTGTATTAAATTCAGTAAAATTCAATTTAAGTTCTGAAATATTGCTGTTTTTGTTGTGAATATATTAATAAGATTTATTTAGTGATACCGTTCCAAAAATTTGACCTCCATAACTATATGTTTGCATTATTTAGAATGAGTGTAGGGATGAGGAAATGGGAAAAGAAACAGGCATGAAATGCAACAATGGTCGCAGGCTGGAGGTGTTGCCTTGAGTTCCATGTGCTATATCTTTTTGGCTGCTGAAGAACTCAAAAGCTGTCTTAACCCAACCGTGATCTTATTTACTTAACCTAACCAAACCTTAACTGTAGCTTCTCGTGGTGAAATGGATGTTTCATGTGTCCCCCTGCTTGACAGGACTGTGATAACTTGATAATGATCTGTTTGACAGTGAGAAATTAGAGCCATGCTTGGGAGGTAGTTCAGGCAGTCAACTAGTGCGTCCACAATCACCCAGCTAACACTTCCTGACACTTTGGGGGTCTATTGAAGCGGCAAGGTTTCCGGTCTCACCCTCTTCTCTGTCATTGCTATCCCTGCCAAACACAGCTAACTGCACTTATACTTTCCGCCCTGCCAACAACATCCCAACATCTGATAGTAGAGGGGTTTAAGAAATTATCTCACCATTCCTCAAATTTCTGCTCGTAAAATAATCTGCAGGAGTGACAAGGTTGAAGCCAAGCTGCCAAATTCAAAACTATGTTTTGCTGTTCAAACCACTGGAAATGGGAGTTGTCTGACTGATTGTTTTCTTGTTAATTTGGAGGAACTATTGAAACAGTATCTGCCAGCAGCCTACACAACTCACTATCTTGAAACTTGTCAATCAGCTAGATTTACTCAATACTACTCACCCTTAGGTAAATAGTCGTTCAGCAGCTGCAGCATATCTGAGGAAGTTTAGATACTTGGTATTGATCCCAGGACCTCCTGCATGTAAAGCATTCGCTCTGCCACCGAGCTTCATCCACAGGGTAGAAACATCTGGCGAGCCACATCTGACTGTGTGACCATATTGAGAGTTTTCAAGTGGCAGCAATGTCTGATGTGATCAGGATCAAAGCGTAAAGCAGTCCTTACTCTTAATTTCTGAAAGTCATTTTCGGGCATCAATGGCGTCAATGGAAAAACTCTGATAAAGTATTAATTTGCAAGATAGAGCTCAGAAGCTTTCATTCAGCACAGAACAGTAGATGATAATACACATTTTCAGTATGGCTTTCTGAAAGCCCTTAATAGTTTGGATGCAAAATGACATAATTAGATTAAGATAAAGGGCAGGTTGTCAGCTGTAATTAGAGGGTATTTCTGGCCATTATGAATGACTGCGTAAACAACTACAGCCCTTTTTCACACTCTCTCTTTATTTCAGTTTCTCTGGCAAACTGACAGATGCAAATGAGCGTCAATGAATTTTCTAAACTTAGCATGCATTTATAATTCTTAATGCATACATCTTCTTATATCTTTCTTTATCGTCAGTGCTGGAGCTTGACTGCTAAGGGAAAAGCAAGGCAAAGATCAGAAAAGAGGAATTGATTTGTTTGTCCTCTTCAAAGACAGAGAATTTTCATGGTTTTTGAAAGCATATATTTGCACATTTTTACCTTTCTCCCTGCTGAGTGAGGATAATATCATTCCTCCATTTTCAGTCCAGGAAACGACCCGACCAGAAAATATTACAGTGTTAAAAAGCATTTTTTACCGTGATGTCGTCTTGGGAAACATATTTAGTTATAAAATATACAAAATAACTAAATCACACATAAGTGACACTTGTGTGTTATGACTTGCTTCCAATATAACAAGAAGAAGCTCTGGAGAAGTTAAAAGTGAAACCCATCATAAAAGTTACAACTGCAACTAAGGGAATACGACTTTAACTGCTCCAAACTAGATAGTCAGGTTGGTGTCCTGGCAGAGCCATTATCGCCCCACCCCTACTGTGCGAGGATGGTTTAATTGCTGCCCAAAGCTCCTAAACTCTATCTGCAAAATCTTTATTTGTATTTTTCAAATTTAAAAAAAAAGCGAGACTGTAAGCCTGATCATTTTGTCTGAAGTCTTTGAGTACGAGCTGTCATGTGACTTCATTAGGCAACTTGATCAAGGCAGAAATGTAAAGTTATTCTATCTGAGGCCATGAATGACATACCCTAATGATTAATGAGACCGTTCTTTCAAATAGTTTGCTCTGAAACATCATTACATTCATAGATTTACTCCATCATACCTCTGGCTATTTCCATCAAAATGATTGACTGTTTTTTTAATTAATATCATCAGCATCAACTTTGTCAGGAAGCATCCTCACCCTTAAATAACACACATTTGTAGAAAGTAATGCATTTCTCATTCAACACTTACACTGCCTCTGTTGGTGCTTTGACATGTACATCTCTTTGCTAACTGGCTAGCTGTCAACATGCCCTCGGGAGGAAAGTAATGCAGAATTATATAGAGAGGGCTGTCAGGTCATGGGTAAACTGGAAAGGAATTACAGGCATGGCTTGTCAGAATATCATTATGGTGAAAAGATATGCTAAAGGTGCCTCAAGGGATGAATTGTAGTGAGTTTCCATTTGCCAAAGGTGTCTTCAGACCAAAAGCAAAGTTAATTTTCCCCTTGTGTTACTAGCATACATTTGACAGAGGGATCATTTGTATTTATTTCTTTGCCTTGGTTTTAACACGACCCGCAAACGTTCCCCTTCCAGATATGATGGAAAACAGAGCACTATTGTGTCTGCGATTGGGTCATTACATCACCCGAAGGAGCTCTGGCTTGGTTACTTTCACACTCAAGGAACACTGTCTGGATTAACTACTGCTACTTCAAGCTGCTTGAGGTTGACCTGTGTCCAATTTGATGACCTGTTATTTAAAAAAGGGCTTGGCTCAAATACCAGGATTTCTGTGATGGAAACCAACTATCAGCCTTCTGTTTAGCTACAGAGTGCCTGTCCATGTCTCCAGTGAATAGCACTCTCACTGTAACAAGAACGCCGCAGGTCAGCCCGAGCACTTGCTTTGTCAGTTATGTCTGCAAGAGAACGAGCGAATACCTTTAAAAATCAGGAATTCACTTCTTTACATGCCATCTCTGGATGTCAGAAAAATCTATAGTATCACAAACATCACACAAATTATTGCTTGATCTGTATTGTCTATCTGCATAGTTTGTTGCTTTATCACAGCCATTTGATTCCTTTTTTTGCATTTTTTTTTACATTGTCTTGGAAGTTGTCGGCTGCATGCTTATCACTGTATAAAGTAACCCTATGGTTAGTGGCGGTACCATTGATTTTTATTCCAAATAACAAATAAATTATAGTATGGAAATATACCAATACAATTGTTATATTCTCATCATCACAAACTTGAAACCACAAGTCTGATACTTGATATCCATGTCATGGCTGACGTCGTGTTTCATGTAATGTCACAAAGAGCATTTAAAATGGAAGCATTGCACATGTTGGGAGAAGTACAGTGAAGCTGTGTGTGGCAGCCACAATAAGAGCCTGCAGTCCCACATTGTAAACGTTCAGCTGAGGCTGCACTTCTGAGAGGTCTGGAGTCGAAAGATGATTCTGGAGTTGAACGTGCTGACCCACAAACCCTAAGCAGGGAGGGATGCATTCTGAAGGAGCTGGGCCACCCACAGCATGCACACACA